TGGTCCATCGGTGGTTGCGGTGAACTATCAGAGTGTTTGTGGCTTGACGGTATTGTGGCTTAACGGTCGGAGTTTTTCACTGAAATGCTGAAGTGAAGAAACAGTGAAGAAGCTGCTAATGTAAACTGAAATGGTGAAGTGAAGAAGCAGTGAAGAAGAAAAGTGAAACCGTGCATAATGCAAACTGAAATGGTGAACACTGAACAAGTGAAGTGAAGGAGCGTGAAAGAAGAAATGACGAACACGTGAAAAAGGACTGCAAAAAAAACAGGTGAAGCAGCGTGAAAGAAGAAAACAGAACGCGTGAAAAAGGAAGGCTGCAAAAAAAATTTTCAAATGTGTCATAAGCTGTCAAAAGAGAAGCGTGAAAAAGGGGAAGGCTGCAAAAAATAAATTCAAACGGTCAAACTGTCAGAAAGTTAGGAATAGAATTGTGAAGACCCTATTATCTAAATATTGAACCAAACACTATTCGGAAAGTCTGACTCAAAATATGGATGAAAATACTCATCCAAACGCAGCCAAAAGTTTTCAAGGTTTCTAGGATAATAAAAATATGAAAGACTATTTTACCCTTCTTACTTTAACGGAGCTTTAACTGTGTTACCGTTTTGGTCCTTATTTGATGCATTTCAGAAGCTATGAGGCTCATTTTGATTAAAATCGACATAGTTGTCTGAACGGGTGACTTTCTGAAACCTTAGGGGGAAAAATGATTTTCTCTCATTAAAGTGAGGGTAATCCTATCTTTTTTTTTTTTTTTTTTTTATGATTTTACTAACCGAAAAATAAAATGGAGTTAGTGTTTCTCTTTAGACCATCTCCAACCACAAACACTAAATTGGTACAACTTTTACATCATTTTACTATTGCATCTACAACCCATCCCATCAAATATTACACTAAAAAAAAAAATATTTCTTGGAATATTCTTTTTCTTTTTCTTTCTATTAATTCCCAACAATTAATTTATTTCACTAATTATTTTTGTATATATTAATTCAATATTAAGAATAATATATTTTATTAATTAACTACTAATAATAACATATAATATTATACTAAATTAATAAAATTAAGCATTTATTAAATCAAGTAAGCATTATATTTAATATAAAAAACATTACATCTAATATAAAATACCACAAAAAATATAAAAACAACAACACAAAAGTAAAATTTAATATTGATAATAATTTTAATTTTCCAAATTAGTATATTCTTCCTACAAATTATCAATTAATGCATTTTGAAGAGTATGGTGAGCCTCCACATCCTTGATTTGTCTACGTAATGTTATTGTTATTCAAAGAGCATGATAAGCCTCCGGATCCGGAACGAATCTACCAGAACACTAAATTGTTATTCCAATTTATGTTGTATTTTCTTTTAATTTTAATGTTTTTAAAATTAGTGTTAATTTATTTTGAGTTATTGAAGTTCAATATTTGTATTGTAACGAAGGTTTGTTTTTAAAATTTCATCATTATTTGAATTACATAATAATTATAAATATTAATATAAATAATAATCAAATTAACATAAATACAAATTAAAAAAATAAATAGCAAAAATAAAGATATAAATGTGATCAAATTTAATTGAAAGGCTAAAATGTAAGGTTTATTTTGAAAAAGAAAAGGAGAACGACTATATTGAAAAGTGAAAATATTATTTGGTGTTTTGGTTTGACTTTTAAAGCCTAAAATGTAAGGCAATCCATCCTAATCCTAATATGATTAGGTTGTGGGTTATTCACCTTAATTCACTTTTAATACTAAAGTATTATATTATTAAATAATTATAGATGTATATTTTTATTATCTTAATAGATTTTAAAATAATTATTTTTAGACATAATTATAATCAAAATTATTATAAGTAAAAAAAAAAAAAAAATTATTGTGTATCACATTTACTTAAAAAATATTGATTTTATGACGTAGTTAAAATTAAATCTTCTAACAAATCATTAAATTTATGTTGATGCTTGATTTTGACACCAACAATTCGCATGTGCAAAGTGTTAAGCTGTTATTAAAAGTTACACGTGAATGATTGCAGATAATCTAATACAAAAACTAAATAATAAATGAAAGATGATTTTTAAAGCGGTTCGGATGCTTAACGCAAGTCTTACGTCCACTATTCTTTTACATATGAGAGATTACAAGAGGTCGCGTATAACGAACAACGAGCAGAGGTGAATAACTGATTATTCAGATAAAATATCAAGTCAGTCTCTTTCTCGTAGGTTATCTGTGCTCTAAGAATATATATTACAATCAAAATGCAAGTTTTTTTGTCTCAGAATCCCGAAAATCGGAGGAAGAGTCCTCTATTTATACTAGAAGAATTCAGGATAATAATTACAAATCTGCAAGTGGGTAGGTGTTGTGCAAGTCATTCCTTACCTCTCATTGGCTAATAACTTAGGATATATCCTCAAATTACCTGGGGCTTGGACAGGTGTGTGGCTTCCATTCACTCATAGACAAAACTTGAATCTGACAAGTTGGTGACAACCATATTCTTTCTATCTTAAGGCGACGTGGCAGCTCTTGGATGACGCAAAGTCTTCCTGAACTTTGATTGGAGCTAGTTGATGTAAGCTTACATAAGCCTTGATTTTTTAGGCATAACAGAAGCTCCCCAGTTCTTAAGGTTTAAGAATTGAATCTTGAGAAACTTCATGATTATGCCGCGATCTGACTTGTCTCAAGGAATACTTACTCGAACTAATAGTTAAGAACATCCAAAACGACATGAGGTTGATGGCTTAACTCTACCAGCAAATTGAGTAGAGGCTGCGACATGGATCTTCGAGTGTTACACAAGCGACCTGAGGTGATCGTTCCAAAAGGTTCAGCGACTTATGTCGGATCCTACTCAGTTCTATACCGATGTGTTTTGAATTTTATCTGTCATTCGCGACTTAAAAATACTTAGGATATTTTGCTGTCAAAAACTGAGAATCACTTCGTTTCAAGCTTGACACATGAAGAATAGTGTTTTATTCGAACGACCTCTTCAGATGTTATCCGTTGCGCTCAACAGCTGTCTTAGTCAATAAAATAAGCTTTATCTGACATACATGTCTCTGTGCAATAAGTGTCAACCATGAGCATTAAATGTAACTCATGCTGAAACGATATTCTCTTTTGAAGCATTAAATGCGGATGAGGGCGCATTTAATGCGGAGGAGATAACCATGCCGACGTTTGGCGATTTCAACGAAGGGAAACGTAGGTTGATCTCCACGAAGCACGAAGGTTACTTTTTGCCCAGATTAACGACACATGGTCACAATCAATGGCTAGAAACGCATCCCGCCCAAACGTCGCATATAAAAGAAACCAAATGTCGCCTTCTTCCCTATAAAACCCTAAGCCCATTCTAAGTTTTTCATAGAACTTACACTTTCAGAGAGAAAAACAACATTTTTACACTCAAGAAATCAGTTCATCCTCTTCCCAGTTGATGCGTACTTGTCATTACAACAGAACGTCTATTCCCAGCAATTGAAAGGTAACGAAAATTTCTTCTCTTTTTCTCTTTTTTATTTCTGTTAAAAAACTCAGTTTTTACAGTAATGATGGGTGTAGACGTCTGATGGGCTTGGACGATGAACATTCCTGTGTAGTGTTTGAAAAGGAACACCTTTAAGAGTAGAAACTTAGGGCACATATCCTAAAAAAAAAAAACATTCTTAAGAATTTTTAGGGTTTATGGAAGAGAAATAAGCGTTTCTTTACTCTTTTAAGTCGTCGTATGAGGCAATGTGTACGGAGATTGAGTCACCTCTATATGTCACACATTTTCAAACTTTAAGAGTAATGGACACTCTTGAGCTAAGAACAGTAGGAAAGGGAAGCTCGCATGTTAGAGTAGGTGCCCTAGAGCCAATCAATTATTGTAAAATTGACTCTGTAATAAATGTTTATTTATCAATAAAATGCATATTCTTCTATATCGTGTATGTAATGATATATGTCCTTAGGATGGTAGAACTGTGAAGAGGGTATCAAGTGTTTCAAATCTTGATAGTGAGAACCCTATGATCACATATGGTGGCCATTCTAGAAATGTCCGTAGCCCCAGTATTATTCTGACCAAGGACACAAATAATATGGTGAGACTATCATAGTGTTGAACGACCCTGTCGAAAGGCAATGACTGATCTCACTTGTAAAGGCTGTCTGCCGACAACCTGGTGTAACGCATGGGTGCTTGCTAGAGGCAAGTATTTTTTGGTTTTTAAACTGGAAGTAGTTCGATTTTTAAACAGAGTAGAATTAAGAAAGGAAGTTGTATTAGACTGGAACGGGGGTGTTACCTATGCTGTTCTTTGCCAAGTCTGTACCCTATAGTCTTCTGAATTGGTCCATTGCTTTTATGAAGTAGTGTATATGGAGTATTAAATTTTAATTACATACTGATTTTGTTGGTGCTTTTTAGTCAATAATCATGTGTAGATATTGAACAATTTTGTTTTACTACATTGAAAATACCATTTATACTGAAAGGTGTTTTTAACGGATTCATATTTTCTGTAAATTCGGTATATGTATGTATATATACAACACACATACACTGATTGGTTTGTTTTTTTTATTTTATATTATGATATAAATTAACTTGTACGCATATAAGATTAATAATAACCTACAGTGTTCTAAATCATCAATATTTAAGCATAATGCATGTTAAGATTGGTTGGATTTGCCAAGATGCATTTGTGATGCATGCCAGATCTAGTCCTGATTGTCCAAAATACTTGTACACTGTGGTGGTATAAAAATAGTGTAATTGATTGTGTACAGTGGTTACATGGATCCTCATGTATTACCATCTAGGTAGCCAAACTTGTGTCTAGTCCAATGTTGAATATATAAAGTCAAAAGTATCATTTAATATTATTATCATCTCAAAAGGTTTTTGTTTACCATGCAAGCTTTTGTTAAGCAATATTTCAATGATCAGTGTAATATACTTTATTTTTCTTCAAATATTTGATGAATTGTTATCTAGTTTTTCTATTTTGTTATGTGGTTGATATTCAGGGAACTACAAGGCCAACACATTATCATGTTCTGTTAGACGAGGTGGGCTTTTCAGCTGATGATTTGCAGGAGCTTGTGCATTCTCTTTCGTATGTGTAAGTATAGTGGAATAATTGCATTGGTATGTGTCTCAATCTGTAGTAACTGTTATGATCTGCCATCTAAATTATATCTGCAAATATTTCAGGTACCAGAGAAGCACTACAGCCATTTCCGTGGGTAAGTTATTTTGTCATGATGTGGATCACTATTTTGGTTAAATTCAAGATGTGTTCTTAATATTTTTGTTCTCTAGTAACCAAGATGTGTTCTCCCTATGCAGTTGCTCCGATTTGCTATGCTCACCTGGCAGCCGCCCAGGTAGGATCGTTCGTGAAATTTGAAGACAAATCTGAGACATCTTCAAGCCATGGTGGTATGACATCTGTGGGAGCTGCTGCGGTTCCTCAACTACCTAGATTGCAGGAGAAAGTGTGCAACTCAATGTTCTTTTGTTGAGGCCTTTTGTCCTGCAGAAGAAGATAACTCAGTTTTTGTATAGACTTTTTGGTTTTACATTGGTGATGCCTTGTTTCCTTCCTGACTCTGAATTCGACTTTTGGCATTAGTGTACAAACTGGTTATGTAGTACCCAAGTAACTAACTACTTAGACTCTCTTTTGGTATTTATGCTGATATAGGCATCTGATGGCTTTGTGAAATGCATGTGTTTGCCTTGCTGCATTCAATCGTTTACTAGTCCCTTGAGCACCTAATCAAATTTTATTAAATTTATGAAAACGAACAAAGAAGCATTCTTGTAGTATATTAATTTTTACTGACAGTTGCTGAAAAGTGAAGATTTAATTANATATATCCTCATTTATTTTTATTTTGACATGTGTCTCTTTTATTTTACTTTTTTTTTTAATATTGTAGTTTAAAAAAAAAAAAAATTATATGAAACTATATTACTCATGAAATTACTTTAATATACTTAATAACACTTGGTTTTCAACTATAATTTTATTATAACATTACACAAGAAGAGAGGACAAGGGGTAAAGTTTAGAGTTATTTTAGAATTTAGTTTCAAAATTTGTTGATATGAAAATTCGCATCAACCAGAGAGATCTAATTGCCCTTGGTAGAATTGGAATAGATGTGAGCGTGATTACAGATAATCAAGGATAGATGAATGATAAGTGCAATAAAGTAAAAGACAATAAAATTTTTAAAGTGGTTCGGCAAGATAACCTCTTATGCCTATGTCCATTGTTCTTATAGTCGCTGTGAGAGCATACAATGAGAGTTCTATGAAAAATGTCTAACCTCTTTTTCATCATTTGAGGGGGTGTATATACTAGGTTTTTGCAAAAGAAATTGCGAAAATAAAGGGATTACAATTTATCTGAACTGCAATTCTGATATTCTCGTGATTGGGAGTTGTGATTACGCAGAGATTGTTATTAATCTGGTCATTCCCATAATATCTGGGATTTGAAATTATATAGGAATTGATTAAATGATCATTCGGGTTGTTCGCAATTAGCTTGTGTTGGGTCAAGCTATATGTGGACGAGCTTATGCTAGGTCGAACAACTGGTAGAGTCGGACTGATTATGGATCGATCTAATACCTCGCAACTCACCGAACTTGATGGAAAAATCACACACAACAAAAATATTTTGGTCAATTGCATTTTTTTTTTTTTTTTACATTTCTAATATTCATTTATTTAAATAACGAAAACATGTTTTAGTATGATTACATATGAAGTTAAAAGACGGACAGACCCACCCTTCTATTTTCTTTTGCTGCAGAAAACCAAATAAATGTGTTATTATCACACATAACAATTGAATGTGTTCTGGAATTTAAGAAAAAAAAAAAAAAAAAAAAACAGCAAGCTTATTGAATTTTTTAAAATATGGTTCATTTGTTTTGGAACTTGGAAGAGTTGGGCAGACACAAAGACTTAAAACATCTCCAAATTATTCTTTATATGACTAAAATTTTTTTTATAAACAGTTTATTCATAAAAATAAGAGTCAAATAGACTCTTTATTTTTAAAATATAAATTAAAGAGTGGGTTTGACTCTCCACATTTAGAGAGTCAAATTTCGCTCTTTATCTTAATTTTAATTAATAAACTATAAGTTCTTATGCATTTTATTTATTAATTTTATCTCTTGTTAAGTTTTTTCTTAAAAATAAAAAGCATCTTCATTAAATTTAAAGAGTTTATTGGATTTGAATAAAAATTATGTTCTTTATATTTAAAAATTAATGAAGATACTTTTTATTTATACAAAAGATACTCTTCAAAATTAACAAATAAAATACCAAACAAGTCGTGGTATAAATAGACCATCAATAAATGAATGAGTTGGTTGTTTCCTATTTCAAAATAATTCAACGACATTTCCCAACCACTTGTGTAATTATTTGTATTAATTAATATTATTCTTACAAATCTCTTCAATATTATTTTCATATAAATTGAGTTGACAACTCATTTTTTAAATTTATAAAAGATTATGATAAAATATAATAATCATCGTTTTTTTTTCTCTGTTATGTATTACTGTGACTATTTTTATTGTTATATAATATAATTTTATTAATTAAAACAAATAATTACATGATATAATTAATAATTTGTTTAAGAAGAGACTACACTTGAATAAGTAATAATATAAAAATAATATTCTTTTTTTACGTCTATCAATAAAAATGTGAAAAATCTTGTTAAAATAGAAAATGGTTAGTATTAAAATAGAAAATAGAAAATGGTTAGTATTAAAAGAGAAACACCTGTATGAACTGCATTAACTTGGTATTTTACTTCCATTGCCTATTAATTGGAGTTGTTTCTATCATTTGGTACACCAAACAGTATTATTAATGTAGCAATTAATGGTTCATATATCAATTTTTTTATTTACAAGTTAAACCGTCTTATGCTAACAACTAGATATGGGTCTATGCATTACGTGGGTATGTTTATTTAATATTTTTGAAATAAATTGTAAACAAATGTAGTCTAACAAAATAAATTAACTAGATTAAGATATAATAATTGTTAAATTATACAAATTTTAAAGCAAATATAAATTTTATATATATACAAAGTTGTGTTAAGATAAAATTAATAATTGTACCTGTATAATTACTAATATCAATTATAGGTAGATGTTATTAAATTATTTATCCAACTTGAGAAGATCACCTAAATATTATATGATTTAATTATATTTTCATGATCATTACCTTATACAATTGATATTATTTTTGCGGACATGTCTTTGATATTCGATGTTAGTATTTTGTAGCGAATTGTATATGATATTTAAGATCATCTGAATATTATCAAGATCAACTATTTAAACTTAAAATTTATACTAACCTTCCGCAATTTTTGTAATTTATATTTATTTTCAAGTAGTATTGCGGAGGTATGTTTATTATATTGTTTTTTACATTATTATTGGTTTTTGTGTGTTTTAAATATATATTTTCTATATTGAAGTTCATTTTATATTGAATTGATAATTAAAAAAATCAATAAATAAAATATCCACAAATTGAACTTAAAGTCTATATCATCATGGTTCTTCTCAAATATGTTACCATTTGAAATTCGCAACCAAAGTTTAAAACTTTGTCAAGGAAAGCAAAAAAATTTGCAAGATAACCCACTGGGTATTATTGATAAATCTATAAATCAATTAGAGAAAGAGAAACATTGTTGAAAAATGTGAACTTTTAAGCAAGAGACTTGCATAGCCAAATGAAAAAAACTGACTTTGATTGTTGAGAAGAGAAAATGAATTATTTTCATTATTATTATTTAGAAATTAAAAAAAATTAAGAATGTTGAGAAGAGAACTCACATAAAAAGCAACAACAACCCTAACAGTATAATCTGAAGGCAACTTAATTGAAGCATTGAAGAAGCCATGAAGATAAATGTCCTATGATACAAATCTATTGCTGCAATTAGAATTGACCATCACCTATAGCAAAAAAAACATTTGATGATAGCATCGTAAAGAAAGACGATAATTGTAAAACCCACAAATCAAACTACAAAATCAATCCAAAAATTAACAAAAGGAGATAGAACAAATACAATTAAAACTACATATCAATATTTGTTTTCTTTTGTCATCACTAAAATTGAATTTGTTTTATGTATGTAATGATAAAATGAATGGTTTGACAGCAAGTCTATAGTTATCCTAATGCATTGTATAACATATCAAAATAAAGTTCTATCATTCTAGTTTCCAAATATTCAAACTGCTCATCAATTTGAATTTTATTGAGCAAGTTATAACCAATTTACTACTGATTATTCAGTAGAAATTGAGAAATAGGGGAAACATAAATGTGTGTCATAATAAAATGAATGGCTCGATAGTAGGGCTACAGTTATCCAAATTAAGTATATAAAAGATCAAATTAAAGCTATGTTTGTCTAGTTTCTAAAGATTCAAACCTCTCATTAGTTGGATTTTTATTGAGCATATTATGGTCAATATACCACTGACTGTTCAAAATATGTATGGTGATAAAACGAATGGTTTGGAAGTGGGGCTAAAGCTATCAAAATTAAGCATATGATACATCAAATTAAAGCACTATCTGTCTAGTTTCTAAATATTCAAACCTCTCATCAATTGAATTTTTATTGAGAAGGTTATGGTCAATTTACTATTAACTGTTCAGTGGAAACCTAAATGTGTGTGATGATAAAAAGAATTATTTGATAGTGGGGCTAGAATAATCTAGATTGAGCGTATAATATATCAAATTAAAGTCATATCTGTCTAGTTTTTAAAGATTCAAACTTCTCATCAATTGGAGTTTTATTGAGCCAGTTATGGTAAATTTACTACTGACTATTCAGTGGAAGTCGAAATGTTTTTGATAATAAAATGAATGATTTACTAAAGCTACATGATTCAGCATCAAACATCAGTTGATATTTGTTAAATAAATAAAATTAGTTATATTCAGAAAGAACCTCTTTCCATGATATATATATGTAACAAAAAAAAATATCAACAAAAAAAGATAGAACAATTACAGTTAAAACTACATATCAATATTTGTTTTCCTTTAAGGATAATAATAATGGTTCGGCACATTATAAATGGTTTACTAAAGCTACATGGTTCGGCAACAAACATCAAATGATATTTGTGATATAAATAAAATTTGTTATATTCAGTAACAACCTGTTTTCGATATATGTATGTAACATGAAAAAGTATCAGCAAAAAGAGATAGAACAAATACAATTAAAACTACGTATCAATATTTATTTTCCTTTGTCATAACTAAAATTGAATTGGTTTTATGTGTGTGATGATAAAATGAATGGTTTGGCCGCAGGTCTATAGTTATTCAAATTCATCGTATAATATATCAAATTAAAGCTCTATCTTTCTAGTTTTCAAAGATTTAAACCACTCATCAATTGAATTTTTATTGAGTAAGTTATGACCAATTTATTACTAATTGTTCAGTGGAAACTGAGAAATAGGAAAACCAAAATGTGTGTGATGATAAAAGGAATAGTTCGGTAGTAGGGCTACAGTTGTCCAAATTAAGCGTATAATATACCAAATTAAATCTCTGTCTGTCT